GGGGCTTGATCCCAGGACCCTGGGATCATGACCTGAGCCGAAAGCAGACACTTAATGACTGAGCCACCCAGGTGCCCCGGTATAACAATCTAAATGCCTGTGTAATCTGGAGACCTCTCCTGTCACCTTTTTAAAATAACTTATAGAAAATTTCGAAAAAACAAAATTTTATTTTTACCCTAAAATAGAATGGTGTTTTCGTTATTTGTTGCTGCCTGATAGCTACTTCAAAACATTGTGGCTTAAAATACCAACTATTTTATTGTCTCCCATAGTTCTACAGGTCAGGAATTCAGATTGGGCACGGTGAGGGTGGCTTTCATGCCCACATGATGTGCGGAGGTTAGAAGTCCACAGGGCTTTTTTCACACCTCTGGCACCTCAGAATGGCTTGAATTGGTTGGGAGACACCTGGAACATTTTTTTTTTAATGGTTTTATTTATTTGAGAGAGAAAGCCTACAAGCTGGAGGCAGAGGGAAAGAGTATCTGAAGCAGACTCCGCGCTGAGCGCAGAGCCCAATGCGGGGCTTGATCTCACAACCCTGAGATCATGACCTGAGCCGAAACCAAGAGTTGGCCACTTAACTCACTGAGCCATCCAGGTGCCCCCAGCAGGAACATTTTAACTGTCTGGTTCTTCTCCAGGGAGCCTTAGCCGCCCCCCCGGCACGGCCTCTCCACATGGTCTTTCCAGCAAGGAGGCTAGGTTTCTTACATGGTGGTGGTTCAGGGCTCCCAAAACCACAAAAACGGAAGCTGCCAGGCCTTAAGCAAGTCACAGGTCCAGCCCATATTAAACGGGACAGGACTGCACAGGATGTGAATTCTAGAAGTTAATGTGGGCTACCATTGTAACCCAACTATCACGTATAGTGTAATGAAGTCCCATATACTTGTTACTAGCTCTTAAAATTATCAACTCCTAGCTTATCTTGTTTCATCTAAACCCCCACTTCTCCAGATTATTTTGAAGCAAATCCCCCAGACGTCTTATTTCATCTATAAATGTTTTACTAGATCTCTCTAAAATTTAATTCAAGTCACTCTTCTTTATTCCCCAGTCATGTCATAAAAGCTTTTTAAAAATATCTCTGCTCCCTTCTCTACCCCTGAAAATAATTCCTGTTCTGATTTTTATCACCATAGATCAGTTTTGCATATTCTAGAACTGCATATAAATGGATTCATACTGCATGTACTCTTGTTTCTGGTTTCTTTCAGCATGTTTTTGAGATGTATTCATGTTATGTATAGTAGTTCATTCCTTTTTGTTATTGAGTAATATTCTGTGGTATGAATATGACATTATTCATTCTCCTGTTGATGGACACCTGGGCTTTGCCTAGTTTTATGCTATTATGAATCAAGCTGTTATGAACTTTTCCTGTATAAGGCTTTCTGTGGACACACGTTTTTTGTCCTTGGATAAATACTTAGGAGTGGAATTGCGAGGCCATAGAATAAGTGATTATTCATATTTAACTTTTAAGAAACTGTCAAGTGTCCTAAGTGGCTGTAGTATTTTACACCTATGCCAGCAATGAATGAGAGTTCCAATTGTTCCACGTGCTTGCAAACTTTTGATATTGTTGGTTTCTTCATTTTAGCTGTGCTAGTGGGTTTCATGAGTGTAGTGGTATCATAATTTTTTTTTTACTTTTACAGTTTGTTTTAATTGGGATACAAATAAGGTCCATACGTTCCAGTTGGTTGCTTCTTACATGTATTCTGTTCTGTGGGTGTTCCACTCTCCCTGTCCCCCTTCCCTCACTCTTTCTCTTGTTTCTTATAGTTTATTTGATTTTTAAAAAACATGAGTTCTCTGTCTTACATATATTAGTAGAGTGTGAATTTTGCTGTTAACATGTTCTTCGGTCTTCTGTGTTTTCTATAAATTGGTAGTGACATATAGCAGCTGTACCAGATTCATTTATGATCATTGTGTAGATCTGTTCATCAGGGATTGCAAAATAGTTATCTTTTAACCTTAGCACTAGCACTCTTTTTTTTTAAGAGAAAGTACATGCATGATAAGGGAGCAGGGAGGGGAGAGGGGCAGAGGGAGATGGAGAGGGAGAGAGAGAATCTTAAGCAGGCTCCATGCTCAGCGCAGAGCCCGACATGGGGCTCGATCCCACAACTCTGAGATCATGAGTCAAATCCAGAGTCAGACGCTTAAGCGACTGAGTCACCCAAGTGCCCCCCAGAACTCATTTTGATTTATGAGTTAAAATAATTCTAGAGCACCTGGGTGGCTCAGTCGTTAAGTTTCTGCCTTCAATTCGGGTCATGATCACAGGGTCCTGGGATCGGGCCCTGCATCGGGCTCCCTGCTCTGCGGGAAGCCTGCTTCTCCCCCTCCCACTCCTCCTGCTTGTGTTTCCTTTTTCACTATATCTCTGTCAAATAAATAAATAAAATCTTTAAAAAAATAAATATAATTCTATAAAAAGAAATGTCTTATCTCTGTGGTCACCCTGAGGTAAAGTTTATACAGGAAAGGCAGGATAAAATACCTGATTATTTCCCTTTATTTACTAATCTTGAAAATATGAGTTGGTTCCCTGGCATCCTCTAAGTATTTAGAAGATTTTTATGTATTTCAGTCCTTTGCAGTTATTATCCTTGTTAATGCTCAAAATGCTCCATCTTTGGTTAGTGGGAACCTCTACAAGTTGGCCTCTGAATCCTTTTGACATGACCCTCACTGGCTTTGAGAACCTCTTTGGTTTCCATTATGACAAAATGTTCTAGTCTCATCTGGTACATTTTTTTACTCGAACCTAGATTCAGGTCTTTCTTCAAAGAGCCCTGTTTCCTTAGTGGGAAATAGTTATTTAGTGACTGCATACTGAGCATTAGAAGTGTTCATTGCTACTGGGTTGGTTGTCATTTCTAGACTTTTTCACTGAACAGTGTTAGGAAATTATTCTTTTGAGACAAAGTACATTGTAAGTTCATACTAAAACTTTCAATTCAAATATAAGACTATAAGGTTTTTATATAAGCATAGATCTTATATCTATATCTTTCTAAACCCCAAGCCAGAAATCCCACTGCCCAATGACACCACCGCAGTTTCTTACTTGCTTTACCCCATAACACATCTGCACATAATAACCTCAGAATAACTATACCAGCACTCCTGAAAACAGTGTTAAGTTTTTTTTTTTTTTGGCAGTTTGTTTTTCTTTTTTTTTTTTTAAAGATTTTTATTTATTTGACAGAGAGAGAGAGACAGCGAGAGAGGGAATACAAACAGGGGGAATGAGAGAGGGAGAAGCAGGCTTCCCGCTGAGCAGGGAGCCCCATGCGAGGCTCGATCCCAGGACCCTGGGATCATGACCTGAGCTGAAGGCAGTCGCTTAACCAACTGAGCCACCCAGGCGCCCTCTCCCTCAACTCTTGCATGCATTTTCTCTCTCTCTCTCTCTAAAATAATTACATATTTAAAAAAAAAAAAACCCTTAAAACAAAATTTAAAAAAAGATAAAATAATTTGCTTAGCATTACAAAGCTAGGATGTGGTAGAATTGAGTACATTGCATTGTCTTCTCTGCATCTTGTCCTTTTGAATTATTTTCTGATCCATATGCCGCTTTTGTTTGTTCATAGGGAGTCATCAAGCTTTGGTGTATGTGTTGGCCAGTTCTGACATCTCCTTGAAGGAGTGCTGCATTGAGGAAGATCAAAACAAGATTGTTTGCAAATTTTAGGGAATGGACCGTTTGGGTTCCTTTAGCAGTAAGTATAGTGGGAACAAGACCCAGGTGAATATTAACAGCAGACTCAAGTGGAAGTTGATCAAAGAAGAAAAATAAGCACTTTGAAGTTAAGCCCTGCGAATCTGATCCTAAAGGAATAAGAGTTATCAAATCAAAATAAAATTAACCAATACTTATTGATTGCCCACTAAACACATGACACAATCATATCACCCCAGGTCTTGTAAGAAAACTATGCTCAGGCATATGATTAACCTGCAATTAGACTTAAGAAAGCAGTTGGATTTCTCTTTAGAACCAGTAATATATTTTAGATGCCTTGATAAAAAATAATGTCAGTGGTAGAATAAAAGACATGCTTCTCTTCCCCCTTCCCTTTTAGGGGGAACTTGTGTTCTAAGAGTGAACCACAGTATAATAATAATGCAGAAAATTATGGTGTGTGTGTGAAATAAATTCAGGCACCCCCAGCTATGGAGAAAAAAATACACTGCCTTTTCTTTGTTTCTGATGATAAGAGATTTGGCAGAAATAGAAATTCTATTGTTAGATGTTAGTAGTGTCCCAATGAGAAGAAACAGAAAGGCACTTTTGAGGTATTGTTTCCTTTTCAGCAATTTCTTAAAGGACCTCTTATTTACTCTCTCATCACACCTATGTATATATAAATTTAGGACAGAATGAAGGCTTCAAACACATCTAGTTCAAATCTCTCATTTTACACATGGAGAAAACCTAAATGAATTTTCCTGATGCTGGAAGTGTAAACTGAAACCACTCCCATTCCCTTTTTAAAATACTAAAAAAATAAATAAAATATTTTTAAACTTTTTATTTGGAATAATTTCAAACTTACAGGAAAGTTGGAAGAATAAGAATCATACAGAGAATCCACATACACTGTTAACTTCTTACTCCATTTGCATGTATTCTCTTTGTTTCTCTGTAAATATACATTATATACACCGTATGTAATATATACACTGTAAGTAATATATATTTATATACTATACTATGTATAGGTAGATATAGATACCCCCCCTTTTTTTTTCAGAATCATTTAAGGGTAAGGGACATATATCATAGCCCTTTACCCGTAAGCACTTTAGTGTTTATTTCCTAAGAATAGGGATATTCTATTACATAACTTCAGTAGGGTTATCAACTAGTAAATTTAACATCCATAAAATATTTTTATCCAATCTACCATCTAGTTCATTCGGTTTTGTAAGCTGACTCAACAGTGTCCTTTAGGGTATTTTTTTCCTTCTAATGACACAGGAATCGGTCTTACATTAATGCTATGTTTCTTTAGCCTCCTTTAAACTGAAACATTTCCATAGCGTTTATCTTTAGTGACATTCACGCTTTTGAAGAAGACAGGCCCTTCCTCCCTCCCCTTTTTTAAAATTGAGGTTTCTTGTTTTGGGTTTGTTTGTTCTTGCTCTACACCTCATTGGTGATAATGATTTTGAAAACCCAGTCATAGTGTCTGTTTGAGTTCTCCACTGTGTAATTTGTATTTTTCCCTTGGGTATAATAAACAACCCATAGGGAGACACTTTGACACCATAAAATATCCCACTCCTCATCAAAATTTTTCCCTAGATTTAACATCCATTATGATTTTTCCTTGATCCAATCTTCACTATCATGCAGAATGATTTTTTTCAAATCCAGCACTCTCCACATTTGGTAGTTAGCACTGACATAATTATATAATATATGTAATTATACAACTGTATATATTACATGTAATATATAATGATACATATTATATAATTTCTTGATTATATAATCAAGAGACCTATCTCGCTTATTTCACTGACATATTTATTGTAAGTGGACACGCGAATTCCTGTTTTTTTCAAGGATTTATAATTCATTATCATACTTAATTATTTTGGCTCTCAGATTGTCCCAGTTTGACCCTTGTGAGCTCCTTCGTTCTGGCTCCTACATCCTTAATAACACCCATCACTTTTTTGAGCATCTCCTTACCTTTTGCCTACATGTTCCAGGTGCATCTTGTATCTTCCCTGCCCCAGCCCTGGAATCAGCCACTTCTCCGAGGAGCCCTGGTTCCTTTTAAAGAGGACTGATATTAGAGACCAAGATCTGGTCATTGCTACTAGCATGTTTTGTATCTTGGCTCATAGGCCCACAGAGCTATGAAATATATGTGCATGTATGTTATATACATATACACCAACATACATACATACTTACCCATACATACACTTTTAAGAAATCACGAGTTCCCATTGATACCTCCAAGTCATCTGCACAAGCTTTTTTCTTGTTTTCCCCCATTCCTTATTTGTGTGTCCTTTCCTCAGTGAGAACCTTGACACCCAACATCAGCACATTTACTCATTTGCTCAGTCTTCTAATACATCCAAAATTATGTCAGAGTTGCTTTTCACATACCACTGCATAAAACAGACCTCCTTCAACAAGTTCAGGATTTGTTAGCATCACCCAAGACTGAAGGTATATTGTTAAATGTCCGTAAGTTTAGATTTTTTTTTCCTTTTCAGTGTGGTTACAGTGTTCTTTTGAAATATTATTAGGTTCATCTGTTCATACTGCTTTTAGTTTTCCCTTTTTATATTTCCTACTTCAGTTTTTTAAATTTGAGGAACGTAAGTACACTTCCAGAAGTCAAAACTATACAAAAATATATATTTGGAGAATTGTTACTCCTTCCTATGTCTCTTCCACTCCACTCCACTCCATTCCCCCTCCCCAACCCCTTGTAGGTATCCAACTTCATTGTTCTCTAGTTTAGCTGTCCTATATTTCTTTTTGCAAAGATAAGCAGACATACATAATATTTGGGGTTTTTCCCCTCATTTTGTACAGGAAAGATCGCGTGCTATGTGTGCTTTTTTTGAAGTTTGGTTTTTTTCACTTAATAGAATCTTCTGGAAATACTGTTTTAGTTTGTAAAGGTTGTTCTCATTCTTTTTTTTATAGTTGCATAGTACTCCATTGTGTGGGTACTCCATAGTTTGTTCAACCAATCTCCAGCATTTGGATAACTAGGTAGTATTTTGTAATTCCAAATAATGTTCTAATGTATTCCCATCAGCAGTTTATGAGAATGCCTATTTTACCACATTCTTACTAAGAAAGTATTATCAAGCTTTTGAATTTTTGTCAGTCTGATGGGTGAGAAGTTATATCTCAGTCTAGCTCTCTTTTATGAGTGAAGTTGAGTGTCTTTCCATATGTTTAAGGACCATTTTTTTGTCTTTCTCTTTTTTTTCTAATTATCTCTTCATTTTTTTTGCAATAGGATTTTTGTTCTTTTTTCCCCTCAATTTTTAAAAGTTCTTTGTATATTGGGGATTTTAGTCCTTTATCTATAATAGGTTTTCAAATATTTTCTTCTAGCTTATTTGCCTTTTTATCTTGCGTATGGTGTTTTTTGCCAAGGAAGTTTTTTGTGTTGTTCAGGTAGTCAAATTTATTAACCTTTCATTGCCTTTGGATTTTGAATGATGGTAAAAAAGCCTTTCCTTACTCTTAGGTTATAGAAAAGTTCTAAAATATTTTTGTGAAGGATAGTTTGGCTATGTATATCAAAAACCCTCTGTATGCTCAACAGTTCTAGTTCTAGAAAAATATATATTCTGAGGAACACAACAGCATTCTTCATAATAGTGAAAAATTGGAAATAACATAAATGTCCACCAGTAGAGAATGCCTTAGATCAGCTGTTTTCAACCTTACAAGATCCCATGTTTTCTTTTTATAACATTTTTAGAGCCCATTTGCTCTTTGGAAATGAAATACACAGATAGCATAACACATCTACACCCATGATGTCAAAGAAACAGAAATAATAATGCCCTAACTATAATACAAAGGATAAGCAAAAGAGAAAAATGAACTAATGTATGTATCTCAATATGTTTAGACACGATTTCAGTAGGAGACATAATGACTTAAGTAGTCAGATGCTTGCACCCATATGTTGAATCACTGTGAATCTTACAACTACAAAAGCACAGTGATTCATTTGTGTTGTATTAGTGACTCAGAAATCCCACAATCTTGAATAACTCTTGGTAAAGTTCCGAACAAAACAAGATATAATCTCCTGTAGAAGTACATGCAGTTGCCTTCCTGGAAAATTAAATATATATTAAAACTGTCAAAAACATTTTGTTTTATAGGTAACATGGAATTAGGTTCTAGGTCATGTAATTATGAACAGGTTTGTCACCAACTTTGAATGTCTGGTAGAATATTTGAAAGTTGTACAGGACACAGGTCACTTCTTTGTTGTGCAGGAATGTCTTGAGCCTTGTACAATATCTAGCATCCCTGGTCCTCACCTGCTAAATGCCAGTAGTGCTCTTTAGTTATTGTGGCAGAAAAAAAAAAAAAAAGCTTTTCCTCAGATTTTCAAAATGCCTTCCAAGGGGGCAGTTGAAAACTATTAGGTTAGATGATTGACACAGAATCATTTAAGGGTAAGGGACATATATTATAGGTTAGATGATTGACACAATGGAATATTATTCATCCATTAAAAAGAACAAGGAAGATGTAAGCATACTATCATGAAAGATGTTGACAGTATATTGTCAAGTGAGAAAAAAGCCTACAAAACATCCTGTAAAGCATCATTTTTGTTAAAATATATGCACACGCATACATTGAAGAAAGCCTGGAACTCAGAATGTTAATAGAGGATGACTTTATGCTTTTGTTGTCTAAAATTTTTAAAACTACAAACTGGGTTACTTTTACAAAATAATTACTTTTGATGTAAGGGTTTAAAAGCTCTTTACTTCGGTCAGTAACTGATTTTTTTTTTCCTGAGGAAAGAAAAACAAGCTTATATCATTAAAATGATGTGAGGAAGAAGTCATTTGGTAAAAATTGTCATCTGACACTTAATATACAACAATATTTGTTCTTCCATGTCAAAATTTGAAATGGGAGAAGTGGCGTAGTTGCTGTTATATATATTTATTTTGAAGCTATTGTCAGAAGGATTATGTTTCTTTCCCCTGTTATTTTCTTCCAGGTCTTCATTTAGAAACAAATGAACATGGGGCGCCTGGGTGGCTCAGTTGGTTAAGCGACTGCCTTCGGCTCAGGTCATGATCCCAGGGTCCTGGGATCGAGTCCCACATCGGGTTCCCAGCTCAGCGGGGAGCCTGCTTCTCCCTCTGACCCTCTCCTCTCTCATGCTGTTTCTCTCTCGCTTGCTCTCCAATAAATAAATAAATAAAATCTTTAGAAAAAAAAAAAAAGAAACAAATGAACAATAATCATCACTTGAAGGAGGGAAAGGTGCCTTGAAGAGTGTTTCTTGGGCTTTAGGAAGGAAAATGCTATTACAGAATGTGAGAAATCCTGCCTCAGGCTAAGCAGATTAAATTCTTTCATCTACCTTCAAAGCCTGTGTTTTCTTAGACCCCTACTGCTCAGCACCGAAAACGACTCTGCCAGGTTGCCCTGACTCTAGAGAGGCAGAGTTTAGGGCAACCAGGGACACACATAATCTGCTTTTTTATCACTTTAGACAGTTTAGATTGTAGTTCTTGCCTTAATATTTCAGAGACAATACAGTACGGTCATTGGAACTAGAGGAAGGTGAGCTGTGCTCTGCTTACCATAGGAGAAAGGGAGCTTTCCTGGGTTTAAATCTTAACTCAGATGTAAAGTAGTATATCACAAAACAGATACTTAAAGGAGTTTTTCACCCCAACTTCTTACTATGAAAATTTGCAAACTTACAGAAAAGTTGAAAGAGCAGTACGGTTGGCCACTCCCTACATTCAACAATCATTAACATTTTGTCAAATTTGCTTTATCTAAAAATATGTATGTGTGTTGTGTAAGTATGTGACATTTTCTCTCCTGGAAAAATAACTAGGAGGGAAAGCTTATGCTGGTAAATTTCTCTAGGGGTCATATCTGCTTAAATGCTGTTTATAGTAGTAGATACTACTATAGGAAGGAACAAAGCTGCCTTCAAAGAAAAAGGAACGTGATTTTTGATTTTCCTTATTTAGAATGAGCTCATCTTGTCTCCAAGACAAGCTGAGTCTTCCACACAGCTCACCACCTGTGTAGTTATTTGCAGATTTTCACCTTGCGCTTTGGTAATCATAACATGTTTTGAAGCTGATAGATTGTCCTTTTTGTTCTAGATGATCCCTCTGATAAGCCACCTTGCCGCGGCTGCTCCTCCTACCTCATGGAGCCTTATATCAAGTGTGCTGAATGTGGGCCACCTCCTTTTTTCCTCTGCTTACAGGTAACTCATTAAGGAGAGGCTTGCCTCTCCTGGCCTAGTTTTATGGATATAGTAAATTCAGAGATGACTATCAAAGACTCAGAAGAACCATACCTTGTTAAATCTATTCCTTCTACTTGGTCTTCCATTACGCATTTTACCAGTGAAAAATTGGGGAACAGAGCAGATGGATGACACAGACTGTTGAATATTCTGCATCTCTATATCAACCTAATGCTCAACACTGTTTTTGCCAGTGGGTTTAAAGTATTGGGACTACAGGGGTGCCTGGGTGGCTCAGTCAGAGGCTCAGACCTCTGCCTTCAGGTTGGGTCATGATCTCAGAGCCCTGGGATCGAGCCCCACATCGGGCTCCCTGCTCGGTGGGGAGCCTGTTTCTCCCTTTCCCACTCCTCCTGCCTGTGTTCTCTCTCTCTCTGTCAAATAAATAAAAACCTTCAAAAAAAAAAAAAGTATTGGGACTATAGGAAACAGAATTGGAGGATTATTCCTTTTGATAGCACCTATGATGCTGTTATTGAAGCGTGATCTTTGGGCAGGTGACAAACGGAACAAATCATTCTGTGGATGATGATAGTAATAATACTAATTACAAGTGCTTCCTTTGTTGTTGGGCACTCTTTTGAGTAATTTACGTGAATTAACCTTTAGTTCATCACTATAACCCTATGAAGTAGGTATGATTAGCATCCCCATTTTATAGAGGAAACTCAGGCAAAGAGAGTTTAAGTAATTTGCTCAAGGTCACACAGCAAATACCATATGTTATTGGATCCAAGATGCTATTGATTATAAGAAGCATCCCAATTTTAGAAATGATAAATGGCTGATGGAAGTTGTAATATACTTTTTATTATAAGATGAATCCTCATTTTGGAGTTTTAAAATAAAAAAATACCTGTCTTAGAATTGCCTAAAATTTTTAACTTAAAAACTTTAAGTTTGGAGCCAGGATTCAAATTTACTCAGTCTGATTCCAGGGCTTATGCTCTTATCAAAAGAGGCGAAGTCCTAGGAAAAAGTTTTCTTTTCAGATTATTTTTTCCTCTGTGAGGGCCACTGAAGAGCTGTGATCAGGTATGTAACCATCCTCTTGCGGCTGCAGACAAGATTAAATGAATTCTTAAAAACTCATCTTAAGAGTAGAGCACCCCCAAACCATCTTTTATCCTATAAGAAAGCATTTCAAAAAGTAGCTTTTTGGTAACTTACTTTTCCTTTCTTTTGCAGTGTTTCACTCGAGGATTTGAGTACAAGAAACATCAGAGTGATCATACTTATGAGATCATGGTAATGGTGAAGTTGCAGGGAATTTCCATTCATTTGTCAAGTGTTGTACTGGGAATGTCTGTTTTTCTTCATCTCCAAGTATCTCCTTCCCTTTTCTTTCCTCCTCTTCTGAATTAGGTAATCATTTCCTAGTAAGTGTTTTAGGGTTTTATGGATCTACCAAGGCATTTAAGTCTAAAAATCATTTTATATACTCTGATTTTTGTTTCAAACTTGGAAGGAATTTGAGGGGCGCCTGGCTGGCTCAGTCAGAAAAGTGTGTGACTCTTTTGACTTCAGGGTTATGAGTTCAAGCCCCATGTTGGGGGTAGAGTTTACTTTAAAAAATTCTAAAGATTAAAAAAAAAAGTACTTTGAGATTTACTGATGTAAGGATAAGAGGTACACTGCATTTTAGGTTCACTGATAAACATATAGTAAATGTGTTGTTGCTGTTTTGGGGCTAATGATCTTACTATGTGGTTCATGTGGGCAGTGGTGAAGTTTACGTCTGGCACTCCCTCCTCCTGCCTTGGGGAGATTAGTTAACCCTCTGAGAGTGAAGTTATAAAATGAACATTGAGTGAGTGATATGACAGACTGGCTTATAGGCCAGAATAAATAAAACTTGGCTGGGACCTGATTGATTATATTGCCACCTCTAAAGAAGGAATGAGAGGCAGACGTTGGGAGTGTCCCTTTCAAGCTCTAGCCAGAGGAATGGGCACTTTGATAAGCCAAAAATGAATATCTGGTGTGTTTGGCAGGTGTATACATCTTCGTCAAGATAGTTCTGTCAGTTATCAGAAAATAACAATTCACCAAGTAGTTTTCTTACATTTGGCCTCCCATTCAGTTTTTTTGGTTTCTTGTTTTTGTTTTTTTTTTTTACAGGAAAGAATACTGGCTGGGCATCTTAACAGTAATAATTTCACATTGTGAATTAATCCATTTATACTTGTATTAGTTTTCTGTTGCTTCTATACCAAATTATCAAAAATTAAGTGGCGTAAGATAACACAAATTTATTGTCTCACAATTTTGTAGGTCAGAAGACCATTAGGCTCACCTGGTTTGCTGCAGATTCCATAATGTCAAAATGAAGGTGTTGCTGGGCTTTTATCTAGAGGCCCTGGGAGAGAGTCTGCTTCCAATCTGCTGCTATTCTCATTCAGGTTGTTGAAGAATTCTCCACCTTGAGGTTGTAGGACTGGTGCCACTCTTCCCTTATTGGCTGTTGGCCAGGGCTTGCTCTCAGCCTCTTGAGACCTCCCTTTCCCCATGTTCAAAGCTAGCAGTGTCCAGGAGTTCTTGAAGGTGACTGATAAAAAATGCCTGGAGTCTTTTTGACCTCTCCTGCTTCCTCTGTGCTGAATCTCCTGCCTCCCTTCTTTTTTTCTTTTCTTTTTTTTCTTTAAGACTTTATTCATTTATTTGATAGAGCACAAGCAGCGGGGAGCGGCAGGCAGAGTGAGAGGGAGAAGCAGACTCCCTGCTGAGCAGGGAATCCGATTTGGGGCTCAGTCCCAGGACCGTGAGACCACGACCTGAGCCTAAGGCAGACACTTAACCTATTGAGCCACCCAGGTGCACCCCTTCTTCTTCTTTTTTTTTTTTTATTTATTTATTTGAGACAGAATGAGAGAGAGAGAGAGCACATGAGAGGGGGGAGGGTCAGAGGGAGAAGCAGGCTCCCTGCCGAGC